ATGACTTTTAGCCCATTCCGTTGCCATTCTCTACCTATCTATCAACATCTTCGAATCCTACCCATTCAACAATTGTTTTATCATAGATTGTCGCTCATCACATACCGTCTCATTCATCGCGAAATATCACTTGATAATATTCCTTTCCATATCTTCGTCAACAGCAATAATACCAGGTTTTCAGAGCGTAATAACTTCCTTTTACCTAAAATTAGATCAAACTATGGCAGATACACAGCACGCTTCTTTTGTGTTCATCTTTGGAATAATATCCCTCTTAATGTTGAGTCGTCTCATTCATTGCAGTCTTTTAAGGGGGGACGTGGCAAGTAAAACTAATTTTTTTATTAATGTACTGTTTGTGATGAAATTTGGTGTGTGTATGTGGATGATTGTGAGGATTCCAAATATGAAAACCGTTTTCAAATATCTCTTGTACTTTTTGAGTTACAAGCATAATTATACTAATTAATGCTCTTCACACTTAAAGAGATAATTATTGCTAAATGAAATTATTTTTTCATATTATTATGTTCCCAAAGCATCAACTTGTGCAAAGAAGCTATTAGTTGATTTTTCTAGTTCTTGTAACCATAAATAAAATTTCCAAAACATGGATGTTGTTTTGCGCACACATCGCAGTAATTATAAAATGTGTTCTAAAAATTTTAAATGATGAGTAAGAAGAGAGATAAAGCTTTATTGCACTGCTAAAGGCCTCCTGAGCCTAGTGCAAAAAACGGAACGACTCTATCAGTCTTTGTTAGAAAATGACAGATGTTCTAGCGAAGGCACATAGGCGAAAATCAAGAGTTGAGAAAACTGACTTTGAAAGTTCACTCTTGTTTGGAAGTTCACAACATGCCTAAAACACTCAGAATCCTCCTGGGCAGTAATCCTGAGATGCTGTGGCCTTGGCCTCTGTAGAGCGCAACCCAGTTTTGCGCTTCTTTGTCGTGGAACAATGCGCCTTTTGAGCCCTCTTTACCCTTTTGGCATCCTTTTCGGCTGCTCGCCGCAAAGAGCAGTCTCCTGGATTGAAGCCCAGTTGAGCAGTGATCTCTTGCAGCGCACTCTTGCAGCCACCATTGAAACGGCAGACTGCATCTGCAACTGCACTTTCCACACTTCGAAGGGAGGCGAACTGGCTCTTGGACTGGAGTGACCAAATGAGGCTGTTCATACTCTCCACAGCGTTCTGGGTTTTTCCCTGCGCACACCTTTCAAGGAGCTCTTTGTTCGAGAGGCGCTTGTAGATTGGCAGCAGTGCCACTCGCACGTGAGGGGGCAGTTTATGTTTGTGAGGCGGCAGCGGCTCTCCCTTGGCCAATGCCTGATTGTGCGGGCACCAGGAGTCAGTCCCACTTGGGCACAGGTTGTGGTGTGGATCCTGGTCTGTGGATGTTACATGGTAATAAGTGGCCATGATGGCCCTCTCCATGCCAGGAACATCGTTGGGGTGGCTCTTAATGGCCCAGCCATAATAATTCGTCAACTTCTTTATCAGGCCCTGCGTCAGCCGGCCTTTGCCACCCATGCTCAGTCCTCGGCCTTTGGATTTGTGCTCATCAAGAAGGTTGCGCAAGGAAGTGCCCATTCTTTTTTTCACATGGTTCACACACTCCTGTTTCTTAATCACCATGTAGCCATACACCTTGTCTTGCGTGAGGGCAAGGTACGTACGGCTGTCACCGTCGCAGAGCACATTGATGTATCGAAGCTTGTACTTGGTAAACGATCTTTCAAACATGATCCTAGCTGCTTCTACTTCCATTTGGCCTGCATTAGCATCGGTGTTCTTTTGGCACTGTGGCTTGTGTTTCTCAAGCCACTCCTCATAGTTGTCGTCACCAGGCTTGGGGCCAACAGCACAGCCTTGGCAGTAGTTGGACAGGACACAGTGGTCCAAGACCAAGCCTGTGTACAGCTCGATTACACAGCCCACGCCAATATGACTTCTGTGCCCCCTCGTCATCCACGTGCCGTCGTAAATGACGTCAATGTTGCCTGGCACTCCTCCTAGGTCCTTGTAAATGTCATGCACCTTCTGTGCACTTTCTGCTTCAATGCGGGTGGCAGCTGATGTGGTGGCAGGGTGGCTGTACTTCCTTTGCAGTCTCTGGTAGGACTTGTGGTGCAGTGCTCGATGCGAAATGTCCATCGCAGAAAAAATGTCATTTATGGCAGATTGTTTTCTGCCAACTGACTGCACAGCCCTCAAAACACGCACGTTTACCTCAAAGGGGTTCGTTTTTTGTTGCCCGGAGCACCTCGGGGACGACCACGCACTGTTCACTCTGCCACAATTGTCACAAAAAAGTTCCATCCTCGCCGCGAGTCCAAGGCAGTGCGTAGTCTCGAGGCGTATCGACCCTTCGTCGCACTTGTTGCACTTTACTGACGAAAGCAGACCGTTCAGCATCTTCTTATTTACAATGAAGAATGTGGAGTCCTTACCGCCGTCATTTTCGTCGCAGCCTTCGTTCAGAAGCTCGAGCTTCCGCTTTGAAGCGGACTTCGATGCTACGGCATCCAAAACATCCCGCCTTGTCTGCGCCCGCTGCGCGATTTCTTCACTGCTCGGAATCTGGGCCGAAACTCGCGATAGAATGTTCGACGCGCGCACGCCCGGAGTTGCAACGGCTGCCGACGCGGTGCCAGTGCAATCGGGTTCGCGAGAGCGTCCATCACGGTTGACGGCATCCGGCGGTCTGACATACGACGATGTGGCACCTTCCACACTCTCGGCCTCACAACAATCAGCGAAGGGTCTGAGTAGAGGCTCCGTGACGCTTGAAGAGCATGCTCCGTCCGGAACTGCGACTGGGACGGCAGCCGCAGTCGTCTGCCCTTTGTTCCAAGCTTTCCGACGCTTGCCGTACTTGTGGACGCTCCGGAACTTTTTTTGCGGCAACATAGCACCGCAGTATGAGCAAGCACTCAGAAGAGACCACCGATGTAAACAAAGCTTGGTAAAAAAAGCACGCGAACTATCACAAAAACAGCAAACTGGCAAAAAACGAAGCGCACGCCGGATGATTCTCGACACGGCGGCCGCAGATGCGCTCGCGCTTCCAAGGTTGCCAAGGTGCGCGGCGCAGCTTTGACCAGTAAGAGGTCGCCCCTGCTACCACGTGACCCGCGCAGCCAATTGCTGTTCTTCGTTTTCGTTTTTTTACTTGCTCCTCGCGCTTTTATTTTCACTCGGCCAAATACGAGACCGCGACCATCGGGAAGCCGGCTTTCTCCTCTTTCCAAAGCTACCAAAATGGCGGCCCACGGTCAACAACTTGGCGCGTTTGTGCGGCGTGAACAACACCGTTTCAGGGGCTTTTTTTTCGCACTTTTCGGCGACTAGCCTCGGCAAAAACACTATTTTCGGGATTTGTAGCGCACGTTTCGCTGTAATATTTTAGAACAAGGAAGTTGAAGGTCTGAAGATTACGAAAAAAAATAAATCAGAAAATCGCATATTTTGACCAAAATCGGCACTTTACTTGCCGCGCCCCCCCTTAAACATAACATGAAAAGCATACTGTTAATTGAGTCCCTTGTTCATTTGTAATAAAACATTTTCATTATTACCTCTATGTTTTCAATTCCTGCTTTTACGTATTCTTGTAGTCTTGTATAATGTTGTTCTGGTAAATTAACTTTTTCGATTTGACTATTTATTGTTTTGTGTTGAATGCACTTTTTATTTTTGTTCGTACTTGTAGCTTTTGCTGCTGTTACTTACCTTTTATGTACCCCATTAACGATAGGAGGTCCCCCTGACAGTTGCTTACTTTGGGACCTCATGACGCTGTATATATTATGTGAGCTCTTTTTTTGTTGTACTCATGTACTCAGCAATGAATAAACTTGAATAAACTAAACCAAAGTGATATTGTCAAGCATATGCAGTTGGGATATGATCACATACGTTTGCAAGATCACGCGCTACTCGCTCCATCCGTGAAGGAAACTTCCGCGCCGCTAACTGCATGACAAGTTCAACTCTGCGCAGTGCATGTAGCAATCGCAGTACAACATGTCCAGGCAAGCTAGAGCTGCTTGTGGCTGTCACAACACCAGGTAGAGCCTCTAGACGCTCTTTGCATTTGAAACAGAATAATTCTACTTAACAGACGCCATTCATATTTCGCTAAAACTCATGCATACCAAGCAGTTGAAGGAGCGTATTATCTCGAGTTCGAAATTTGGTGTCACCGCTCCTCCAAAGAATTGCTTCGCAACGAAAGCGAGGTTGTCTGCTGGCCCAAAAGGTGTCATATTTGATTTGACAAAAGAAAAAGACTGTCAAACAAAGCAAGGAAGAAATGACGCTTTGTCACGTGTTATGCTGTTTTGTCGTGGCCAGATGTTTGTCGTGGCCAGATGTGCTGCTGTCCAACTCTAGTGTAATATCTGGTGCCCATTCTTGCCCTTTTACCTTACGAGAAGTTTAGGACGCTACCTAGAATTCCAATTGTCTTAACCAAGTGCTCCTAAAAGCTAGGTCTCAATGTCATTGCTGCAGGTCTCTTATATTTTCTGCTCATTTTCTAGAAAGCAGTGTTGAAGTACATTATTATCAAGGCTCTCAATAATATTTTCTAATGCTTTTGAGATAGGTACTAGTGGTGTGTGATGAGCTGCTATGCCAAAGGAATGTCAGGTTCCGAAGGAAAAAGCTGTGTCAGTGATTTGAACATGTATAGATTAAAATTGATGTGGTCACAATGTTTTGCATTTTACTACCCAGTTTAGGTAACCACGTGAGTATTGTGCACCACAGGAATCAATACAGGAGGGTTCCCTCTATTGGACTGTCATTACTGTTTACTTTTGCTGCTTGGAAATCTCACATGGGCAAGGAAACTCTCCTGTGTTAATCTCACATGGGCAAGGAAACTCTCCTGTGTTCTTTCATGCGAGTGTACTGAACCTTAAACAGAAAGAAAATTCCAAGCCAGGTAGTGGTGGTACGTAGTAATGTTGACCCTGTTTGCCCTCAGCTCTAGCGGGCTTCTCGCCCCACCACAAGATCACCAGCTTCGAAGAAGCAAAGGGTCTGGACAAGATCAACGAGCGCATGCCACCTCGCAAGGATGCACCGCTACCGCACGGGGGTCCCTCGTCACCACAGGAGGAGCATGGTAGCAGCAACTCTGCCGGCTCCTGAAGGGGGTCTCAACCCTCTCCCGCCTCTTCCTCCTCTTCCCCCACCTTCCCCTCTCGGTTTTCCCCTTCCTTGTTAAGTGCCTCGCTCGCCTCCCGTTTCCCATCTCATCATCCCTTGTGTGCTAACAATGCCACGGCGCAGAGTGTGTGCTGCATGTGCGATGAGGAGACTGCTTGCCTCTTTTTCTCTCACTACCCTCTGTCGAGCATGCCCTACCAACTCTTCTCGATCACTCTTGCTTCTGTGCCCACTGTTGTGCATTTTTGTTCCCTGCTAAGTTATTATAAGTTAATGAGTGACAGAGTGCAGTTGAGGACTTGTTTTTGTGCAGTATTTGTTTGTTCGTTTTTCTTACTCATTTGCCTTATTGGGAACGCAGGATCGGAGTGCCCTCACGACGCTCCACAAAGCACTGATATGTGTGCGTGTCTAGCTGTGTGGGCTTGACACTGCTTGCCCTTTGTTGTTGCTGTTCTGGTCACCTTATCATAGTGTATTTTGTGTCCGGGCAGCAGAGTCGCACGGGCAGCATGCGCACTCATATGGGATGCTGAAACACTGTGCTGCTGCACTGCACTGCACGTGTCATCTCTTTTATATGCACACACACACAGGTTAGTTTCTTTTTTATTTTATTTGTACAGCAGCGGGCCTGTTTTACCGCTGCTTCCCACTCCCTTTCCTTGCTGTGACTGCCCTCGTGTTCAACTTATTGCAAATTGTGTGCGTGTGTGTGTGTTTGTGAAAGATGATACAGAATGCCGCCGCCAATTGTGAGGGGAGTACTGTGTGAGAGAGAGGGGAACTCTCATTTTTGTGTGGTGTTGTCATTGGAGGGGTGTAGCTCTCGCGGACATTGCGCATGTGTGCCCTTCTCCCATGCACGACTGATGCCAGTAGTTGTGGTGACTGCTGCCACTGAGGAAGTGATCATAGAGGGTTTTGCAAACTTGGGCGGGGCATGTCTGTGGGCCATCCGCACATCGTGTGACAGTGTGGCTGTTACTGATGGGCCTCTGGGGAGACGGGTGTGCAAGACCCTGGGGAAACTCTATACATACATGAGTGTACATAAGAGGGGGAAAAAAGAAAGACGAAAAAAACAAAACAAATAAGGCCTGACACTGTGGTCACTTGGGGGCCGCGATGCAATTTTCATGTCGGGAAATTGCTGTGCAATGTCTTTGTTGCTTTACTTGATGGCTTTCTTCCTTGTCAATCTTGCATTTTGGTGATGCCTTTGATTTTCCTTTCACACCCTGTATATGTCTCTCTCTATATGTATATGTATATATACATATATAAATATATATGTCCATGTGTATATATATGAATATGTGTATATGTATGTATATACCAAAGCCTCCACCGCCTGGAGTACTGTTCTTGATTTTTCATGCGCATCCTTTCCCGATGGCTTGTGGCAATTTGTGAAAAAATATATCTGTATATATATATCTATATATATATATAGATATATATATATGTATATTACATATAATATTCATATACATAATATACATACTATACGTGGAAATGCTTTGTTTTTAATTTCTCCCTCTGCCTTGTCATCGCTCCTGAAGTCGCTTGTTTCTGTTTTATGATGCGGCTCATTGTTCTCTCCACTGTTGCTAACCTGTCTACCTTCTTGCCGCCCGTGGTAACATCGAAGGGCCAACATTGTATGGCGTGGAACTCCATTTCTCAACTTCAGCCTCCCCTGCCTCTCTCCTCCACTGATGCTGCGACACTGGCCTGCTGAATGGTCCGCTGAACCAACCATGCGCACGTGTGTGCTGAGGGAATCCGCTATGCCACTCATCAATGTCCCAGGCTTTGATCTCTGTCTGGGGCTGTTCCGAATTAGAATATGTCAACATTCAGTTACACCTTGTGACATGAGTTTAAGGTGGTCTGTGGTGAGCTGGCAGCACACAGACAGCATGTGCCTCGTCTGGGTGGTGCTTGCCCAGATGCAAGTTTTAGCGGGGGGACCCTGTTTCAGCTGTGTGCAATGTTTAGTTGCTTTGAAGAATTCTCGTGGAAGTAACGGCTTGTGTGCTTGTAAGATGTATAGCCGTACTTCATGCAGAACTCTTGCCCAGCAACTATAATTCATGTCTGTTTCAATTTCGATGGTTGTGTGAAGCTCGAGGCAATTTGTGGCTGTCGGAAATTCTCGTGCTGTCTTGCCTGATCTAGTCTTATGTTTTTATGGTCCCGTGGCTCCATTGAGTCTGAAACCGGGGCAGTGTCTGCAAAAGTAGAGCACAACCCGAGTCGGGCATTTGAGCTGCACCTCTGCTCCAATCAGAGCTGCGAGACCATCGCAGCTTCTAGTGAAGGGGAAAGAATTTACTGTGAGGCAGGGACCACCCTGCAATGATCCCAATGGCGACGGCCGGTGCGCCTACAGTTGTCAAACCATGAGTAAAGTGGGATAGTTTCATGGGTCAGGTTTTCACGATGTTTTGTGTGGCTGGCTGGCGCTTTGTGACATTAGACTTGCTCAAAGCCATATATGCACACTTCTCGCCTGCACAGGCCTAATTGAATGGTTGCGAGTGTATTCAGCATTTTTTTATGGTTATATTCTCTCGCAGGCCACAGAAAAGTGTTCGCTCAAACTTAATGTAAAAGCTTGCCAAAGTTTGGTGCACCTCGTAATGCTGTTCTGGCGGGAGCACTTGCTGGTTTGCGTGTGGGCATGGGCATTAGCAGCTGTGTTCCCAGGCGAGCTAGGTTCCTATGGCCACATGTTCGCTCGAGTGTCTAGTGGAGGGGGCGTGGCATGGGTACTCTCTTGCAGAATGGGGGAATGTTCTTCTCTGCATATATTAAGAAAGACTCACCTTCATGTTTAAACAAAAATCTTTCTTGATATTTCCAAAAGCTCTCTCGCTCTTTGGCGAACTGTCTTATCGAATTCCCTCAGGAGTGTCTGCCTCTTTTTCAGCAGTGCAGAAGATAGAGGAGAGCCGCTTATGTGGGCATGTAATAACCCATCTGTTGTGCAATAGTTGTACACACACACACACACACACAAATACACATACACACACAACAAAAATTGTATCTGTTGTAAAAAAAGACTGATTTATGTTGAATAAAAATCAACTATGAACTTCACAACAATCGGTTTTCTCTATACAGAGCTCATGTTGTGTCAATCGATAGATTACTTGTTATAAAAGTGACTTGTTGTTAGAGAGTCAAATGCGAACTTCTACACTGGTGTGCTGAGTTTAGCAGCAGCGTTGAGGGATATTTGTGGAAAGAGGGAGAGCAGTTTAGTGGACTGTATAATTTTTTTTGGACAGTTAATTGTTCTAAAGTCATTGAAGCATGGCTTCGGAGGGTAGCCGAGCAAGAAAAATCATGCTAACGTAGAACTACCATTTTTCTGAGCCCCGTGTTATTTTGAAAGTATAAGGACACTACAGAAAGGTAAGTCAAATGCAAGAGCCTGGTCTAACTGCTGCAAAAGCTAAAAATATTAAGCGAGAACGACAGGCATGGAGAGGCTCTGCTTCTCGTACTAGACAAGCCCTAGCTCGTTCATATTTATTATTACATACTGCAGACCCTTACATACTGCAGGTCCAAGCAGGTAGGAAGTTTCAAGAGGACATAGTTCATACAATAACTGGCATAAAAATTGTTTAGGGTGAGTGTTTCATACACTCATAGTGAACACAAGGAGGGACTAGAAGATTATTTCGTAATGCGTGTACTGGAAAAAAGAGGGAAAAATAACGTCACAAATTCAAACTTGTGTTGCGTGACTAATGTAAAAATAAATATGTATTAAATGCAAAACAAAATTTTCATTGTTCAAGCCAATAAAGTAATGGACTGCATCTGTGCTTGAAGCAAGACAGTTGCCGCCATTACTTGTTCAAATATGCAGCGGACTTGCGAAAAATGAAAAGGGTGCATTATATCGACAGCCCCGCTGCGGTGGTCTAGTGGCTAAGGTACTCGGCTGCTGACCCGTAGGGCGCGGGTTCGTATCCCGGCTGCGGCGGCTGCATTTCCGATGGAGGCGGAAATGTAGGCCCGTGTGCTCAGATTTGGGTGCACGTTAAAGAACCCCAGGTGGTCTAAATTTCCGGAGCCCTCCACTACGGCGTCTCTCATAATCATATAGTGGTTTTGGGACGTTAAACCCCACATATCAATTATCCATTATATCGACAAGGAGTGGCGCCCAGCATCGCCACGGTGTTCGTGTGTGGCACATCGAATTGGATATTTTTCTGTTTAAATTCGCAGCATTTCTTGGCGAACTGCTGGCACATAAGACGTTTCCGTCTATGTATCTAACCTAGAGCACTGCACGAGCTCCGGCCTGCACGAAAACCCGCGCCGGGCCGGCCACTGTATTCAACGGGAAAGGGTGCTGTGCCGAGCTCCGGCTTGAAGCTCCGGGCATAGGGCCGGGCATTGGTTTGAGGTGGCGGGCTCTGGTCGCACCGGACTTGGACTTGGTTTCTAAAAGGACACTATAGCGAAGAAATAAATTCGGCCATATAAAGTCCTGTTTGAGTACTCTAACGTTAACACTTTCCCCGTGTATAAATTTATAAGACAAAATTAAGGTCGCCATTACTTCAAGTATGAAACCTTGAAAGACGTCGCCAGGATTTGACGCCATGGTGCTCGTTGCGCCAACTTCGAAGGTGGCAGTGCCACTCGCTTTTTCTTGTTTTTAGAGTTGTGGCGAGCCTGGTGATTTTAGAATTTTAAAACTAATTTACTGATAATACACAAAACAAAACGCCAGGCCTGCGCGGCACGTGCTTCACAAAGTAAAAGCTGGTGGAGAGGCCTTTCAGAACCTTTGTTGAACACTCTTTGGGTACTGCTACAAGCACACTTGCTGGGTATCCACTACGCAATAAATCAATTTTTGTGTAGCAGGGAGGCAGCCACCCTTAGTAATTCTTCGGAAGAGCATGCTACCCGCTACATATTTGCAAGGAATATTGTGCAATTTTTATATGATGTATGCATGAAGCTTTTCTTAATGGGTTGGAGCATTCGATCACCCACTTGTTACGAGATTCGCTATGTGTGACGCCTGGTTGTTTCTTAGCTCTTTGAAGGTGCCTATTACTCCTATTAGCGCTATTCCTTTCCCGAAATTAAGCCTGTCTAAGGCCAGTTTTCTTCGAAGTGACTGTCAGAATACCGAGCTGGCAAGCAGGAGACCCGGGGTCGAATCTAATTGTGTCCTTGGTGTTTCTCATTTAGTTTTTTAATTTCGCGTGATAGTAGTCACGGACACCGGTGGTGGCAGACAAGTACGGCGCACATGGTCCCTGTGATCTCGTAACAGCTTTCGCTTGGAAAAGAGCACGGTGCGGACTGTACTTTATGCTGTAAGAATGGCAGACTGGGCTTGTTGGTTTGACATATTTGACGTTTAAGGCGCGAAGACTGCACGGACGAAAATAAAGAACATACGGTGCTCCGTGTGTCTGTATCTTATCGTCGTCCGTGTCATCTTCGCGCATTTAACTTCAAAAAACGTGGTTTACAGACATACTTGAAGACTGCAAGAAAAGCCCTCTAAGATGAGTTTCTTCAATTATATTGAAAGCGGCACAAAGTTTGAGAACGAAGAAAATGAAGGGATGAGCTGGACGGCCGTATTCCTCGGGTTGAAATTCACAGACATCCTAACTAAACAATACATGTGTAAACCTAAGACTGTATGAGTCAGCTAAAGCAGGGACAGAAAGAACGTTTATTGATAGCTGCTGTTAGGTTTTATAGAGGCTGGCGCTGACGTCTGCAGTTGGTGGGAGACGGCACTAGTACGCACAGCGCATGCGTATCTTGCACGATACATCTTCCCCTGTTCATCAGTTCTTTGAAACATGTCACTCATTCACTTCATTGAAGTTGCCATCGTAGTGAAGCCTGTTAGGTGGCCTCCTGTTTCTGTTCGAGCGCCTCAACCTCGGTGTATACCGTCCATCGGTGGGGGATGTAGAGGATGTAGACCTGCTGTCTAGGACTGGGCTCATGCTCATTGCCTGGCTCGCACTCTCTGTCAGACTCGTCGCTTTCCAGTGTGCTGTTCTGTAAAGGCTCCAGCGTCGCACTTGGATACTTGCGGTTTCGGCGAAGCAGCTTCTGTAAGCACCCTGTATGACCGTGGCGCTGCTGGTCCCACTACTTGCGCTTTGCGAGTCCAGTGTTTGTCATGGACCCTCACCACTTGTCCTTTCTGGAGGCCCGGTAGAGATTAGGACCAGTATTTCGTGGCTTGCGTTTGTAGGCGGTTGTTTTCTTCTGCCGGCGGAATTCCGGAAGTCGTGTACGCAGTCTTCAAACTTGCAGGAGCTCACCAGGTGTCCAACAGTCTTCCAGCGGTGTCGCACGGTAGGATAGCAGTCCCAGCCAGAAGTCCTGCTGTGTCTCTTTAGTTTTTTTTTTTAAGAATTTTTTTCACTACTTGAACATCCTTCTCAGCAAGTCCATTCGACTGTGGAAAACCAGGGCTCGATGTAATGTGTTGGAACTCGTACCTGGATGCAAAAACAGCAAATTCGTGAGAGGCAAACTGGGGACCGTTGTCGCTGCAGACTTCCAATGGAATACTGTAACGGGCAAAGATGCCACTGAGTTTCTCAACAACAGTATGAGATGTGGTGTTTAGCTTTTCAACTTCGGGGAAGTTGGAGAAGGCATCATACACGCACAAGTAAGAACTCCCGGCATACTGGAAAATATCGATGCCGACCCTGTACCAAGCATAGTGCGGCGTTTCTCGCATAAAAAATGGCTCCTTTTATTGTTGATACGCATATTTCCTGCACACAGCACAACCTTTGAGCATCCTTTCGATGTCGGCGTTGAGTCCGGGCCAGAAGACTGGCTCACAAGCTCTTGTTTTAGTCTTATTTAAACCCAAGTGGCCCTCATGTATCCGTTGAAGCATTTTCGCCCTCATCGATTTCGGTATGACTACTTTAGTCCCTTTTAGCACAATGCCTTCTACCAGTGATAATTCCGCCGCGAATGGCTTCATGCTGCCGAGCAAGCTACAGTCTTCTCTTATGAATCGTATTACTGAAGATCAGGATCTTTCTCAGTGGCTTCAACAAGCCGACTCGGTGTTTTGCTGCTCACCATGTCCGTGACCACACCTACTGCATGCACCTCTACGTTGTCCTGGGAGGGCCCGATGTCCTGTGGTCTTTTTGGGAGCCCTTGATAACATGTCGGCCAGCAGCAACTCTTTTCCTGCAACATAGTGAAGAGAATATTTCAAAAGGCGCAGAAAAAAAAAACGTTGAAGCCTTGGTGGCATATCGCCGATTACTTTCGACGCAATTGGTAAAAGTGGGCGGTGATCTGTCTCGGAACAAATTTTCCGACCGTGGACAAAATAGTGAAAATTTTCACATCCAAATGTTATTCCCATTGATTCCTTTTTTATTTGCGAGTATCTCTGCTCCATGTCATGACACGCGACGCGTAGGCCACAGGACGCCAGCTATCTCCATGACGCTGCAACAGCGCAGCTCCTAGACCATCTTTTGATGCGTCCGTGCTGATCTTATTTTCCCTGGCTGGATCAAAAATAGCTAGTGCGGGTGTGCTGCTTAGAACTGTGCAGATAGCTGCCCACTCGTCGGTGTGCTTTTCTGTCCACTCGAAGATTGTGTCCTTTTTAATAAGACCGCGCAACAACTTTGTCTTGTCAGTCAGATGCGGAATATACTTGCCAAAGTAATTTGCCACACCAAGCATTCGCTGAGCCGCCCGCTTATCAGTCAGGCGTGGCATTTCCGCTATTGACGCACTCAATGAGGAATTTGGCTTTATCCCGTCTTGACTGACGATGTCACCCAAGAACTCAACCTCTCTGCATGCAGACTTGCATTTGGCTGCATTAAACGTCAGACCTGCGTCCTTTGATAGTTCTAGCGCCCCACGAAGGCGCTCGTCGTGTTCTGCCCGGGTAGCACCCCATACCAGGACTTCATCGACATACACGCGCACGCCTGGCGCTCGATCGAAAATTGAACTCAACGTTTTTTGAAAGACTTCAGGCGCTGACGCATTGCCAAACGGCAGTCTCAAGAAACGGTAACGCCCGAAGGGAGTAGCGAACATAC